CATAGAAAGGGATACGATGTTAATTCACAGACAGTCATACCTCCATATTGTTGCATTTCTTAACCAAGAGTAGTATAATGCAACTCTCATACAGATCAGAAAACATAATGTCTTCATTGTTTAGGTTGAAACTGTTTGTAATTGGACATAGGCGCGCAAATATTAAAATGGCGCTCGTCGGACCAAAATGCTCGGTAGTTCTTCTGCTACTCAGTGTTTGGGGTATTTTGATGCTCGTAAGTTTTGACGAGTTTATTTAAGTTAAAATTAAAAACCGGCTCACTTTTCTGCAGAACCTGGAATCTATTGGCACTCTTGAAGAAACTTAGATATATGCCGACATCCCCCAGCAATGAGCACATTCGTTGTCAGAATGTATCTGGGCGCATGAGTGTATTGTCATTTTGGACTGAAATCGGTCCCCTCAGGATTTTCGAAGTCTGGTTGCGCAATAATAGGTTCGTCGTACTGAATGACTAAGCCATGAACGCTTACCGGTGTTAACATTTAATTTCCAATAGTTGTGGCCCATCTTAGGTTTTCTTTTAAATCCGTATCACAATCAAGTTTCCCCGGTTAGTTTCTGTAATGGCGGAATAGACCTCCAATCCTAATTCAGTTTATGCTTTCAATGTAACTAAGTCACATGACTTGACAGTAAATCTTAATTCCAAATGAATTTAACAGTAAAGTTAGTCGCTGTGATTTAGTTGTGTCGTTCGGCGTAACGGAACATTAGGTTGTAACCATTTCAGGGTTTCAAGGACTCGTCTCAGTAAATGACCGACTACCCAATTGACAACATGACTTAATCGGTGGTATCACATTCCATAGTCATTGCCTAGGTATTCGTCATGGTGCCCATAGATAGTTGAGCCAACGCACTTCATACGCAACTAGGAAACATTGCTTTATGGAATGGTCTATCTAATATTCGACTAAATCGAATGAATCCGATTTGACGTCCGTAAATGTAGATCTAGTATTGTGCTCAACTTATGACTTCCAAAGAACATATTCACTTGATAAAGTTTCTGTTTGAAAAGCAACGGAATTTAGGTTTTTCTTATATCTGGGTCCTATGGTTCTGCATGGTAAATCGCTGTTGACGCTTTGAAAATATTTCTCGTTTATAATTGTCCATCTACTTAATGTCACGCCGTAAGTTGCACTGTTCTCCGATAGTGTGTGCAGTGATCTAACAAAATTTTTATTTGGACACGAAAGTTGTGGTGAAATACTCGAGTTTTGTGGCTGTTTAGTAGAGTTCAATGGATCTCCCAAAGTTATTTTGGGAGAAAATGCAAGACCAGTCGAAACTTAGGGTGGTTTTAGTTACATTTCCCCAAGAGTTTCTAACAGAGCTTCCCCAAAATCAGGAGACTGGCTATATTTGATCCATCATTTTTCTTTCAAACAGTTTAAATAGAACTCGATGCTTACAAAGTTTTGTTTATCATTCAGCATGTAGTCTGATGTTTTCTTTAGCTTCTCTCACATATACAGACAGATCAAAGGTATAACACTTTAATGTGTATTTAACGCTTTGGTTTATCTGTTTTCTTATTAAATTCCCTCCGGATTTGATTAAATACATTTTTATAAAATAAGTGGGTTTTCAGGAGTATCGCTGTATTTTGTCTGGAGTAACAGTAAGTTACCCATCTAAAAGCACTTAGTCAGAAACCGATAGCGCATGTCATTCGAACTCACTGTGCTCAAGCTGTTTTAAATACTACTCCTGATATTATCTTGTCCTTTGTTTTAAGTGAATTTTCATTCTTCATCGTAAACTGATTGTAAACTATAATGGCCGATATATAACGGTTAACATCACACACCTTGATGTACTCTAACCTTAATGCTGTTAAATAAGGGTTGAAAGTCAAATTTACGTTGAATCCACTTCGATTTGAAAAATAAATGAAATACCAAAGTGATTCATGTTGCCAATACTTTGATTAATAATTATCCTACTTTTGCGAACAACTTGTGTGTGAAAAATTTCCGTAATAAATATATTCCATTCTCGTAAATTTTAAGCCTACACATACATTGAACTTTATATCATCAAGTCTCGTGATATTCCAACAATTTTCTTACTTATTAAACTTCACAACCAAAAACCACATATCCAAGGTGTTGTAACTCGACTTATAAACTTTTGAGTTCATCTCCAACTATTTCCTTTAGGTGGTAAGAAATCTGTTTATAAATAAGAAAATTTTAGTCTTAGGTTACTTTTCAGTTCAAGATTTGCAGTTCCCTAAAATTCATAAGCATTTTAGTTTTCCGTGTGAACTTTCTCGATCATCACCACTCCCTACCTCGAATATTTCCATGTCCTCAAAAATCTTCATAACCAAAACCACTCCTACACTATCATTAACCCTTGATACAGCAGTATGTACAAACAGCATAGGCATCCGCAATAGTTTTCCTAGTCTACTAAAACTTGATACTTAGTTTCTTCTCATGTATTTTCCGAACCATGTTCCTTAATCACTATCTCAGATCATAAATGTATGGTGTATTTCCAAGATTAGTATACAGGGTTTAAATGTAGCTATTCATTATGTCTACCACTTAACTGTAAATTTCATCGTAAGCGGTTTGAGATTTAGTGAAGTATCGGTTTGACCTTTTGTCTGATAGGTCATAAGAAATTCTTATTAAAAATGACGAATTCGTTGCAAAATTCCATTAATAAATCGTTGAATGCTTATGTTTAGCATGGTATTACATTTTGAGTGGCCAGCGATATGACTCCAGTGTGGACGAATGATCGAGTATGCGATGAAATAAATTTTCCTTTCCATTTCCGTATGTACTTAGACAAACCCCGTTTGTGCGACGGCGGTAATAAGAAGCCAACTAGGGTTTAACGTATTAATTTCGTTCATTCATCTAAGCAAACAGATATGAGAACGGAGAGTGGAGATGGCAAGTAAGCCAATTCTCACACGCTGAAGCATAACTAAGTATTTATAGTCAGGCAATAATAGGCTAGTCATGTAATAAGCAAGTATGCATATACACACAGTCAAATATGCAATAGTCGATACCGTTATCGAATAATTTAAACGACTAATCATTACAGCTAGTATAATCAGTAAATGGTAAGATGCTACAATATCTCCCCCCAGCAAACAAAGATACAAAACAATATCTGTGTTTGCGAAAAAATATGTAACAGAACGAAAAATATAAGAATTTACGAAATTAAGATGTAGGATAAAAATATCGTGTAAGTTTGAGTTCATGTGTAAAGAAAGCATATATGCGTGAATAAATAAGATGGATTTTCATGAATGTATAGACATTAAAGCAATGTTCATCGACTAAGCAAGTGGCTGTAGAGAAGTATGATGAAAAGTCGGTAGAGATCATTGTGAAAAGACTGAGAACAATGATTCCTGTGTGCAAATACGATAAATGAACATTAGTTGCACTATCAGCGTGCAATAGGTTCGCTCGACTGCTTATATCGATGGCTCGTGTGCATCCGTGTCGCCATACCACCAATTAACTTATCAGGTCTCAAGATGCTCGAGATACGAGCAGCTAAGTAGTTCGTCGGAAATAACTGTCATGTGATAATCATAGAGCCACTGCTGTAATGAATGATTCAGAATACGGTAATGAGATACGGCAAAAGGAATGAAATGAGCTGAGTTTAAGCCGAAATATTGATGCGACGAGTTAATACATGAAAAGAATAACGATAAGATGATACTATTTTTGTGTAAATCCTCGCTGAACTGGCTTCGTTACGTACGTTGGGAACGAGATTGTGCTGTTTGCGTTGTTCATCGAGTCTCATATGTTGATTCATTCGTCTAGTACATTGAGCTTGAGCGCTTGTCTGCCGACTTGGCTCTTCACGTTGCGTTGTGTTCGACATCGTGCCCACCGTTTAAGTCTCCCGAGACAATTCTACAAATCAGGTCTAGGAAATTTATTTCTGAAAAGTCTGCTAAAGCGTCCATATAAACGCAATGCAGTTTAGAACTACAATGTCATATAAACAGCCTGTACAAAACCAGTTAATACCAACTCAACAGACTTCTCGAACTATTGATGTTCAAGTCTGATCAAAACTTGGGCACAGTGAATAAAGAAACTATATTTATTGGCCATTCGGATCTTTTTGAGATCTTCAGCTAGTTACTCATACCTTTTCTTGGGGAAATGATATAGCTAAACCCCGTAATTAATGACGGACTTACATACTCGGATTTTAGACTCACTGCGTAAAGACTAGTAATGATGTCCGACTTCTTGAACTGAAATAGATAAGACAATGTTTAAACCATTATCGAGTGTTTATATCAATAAAATACCTTTACTTTCCCGACCGTAGCTGCTACCTTATCGTGGTGGTCGGGCTCGCCTATCGTGATGACTCAACCGAGCTATACTGGCTGGAACATATGTTTCTGAAGGCCAGGCAGGTCGATTGGAGAACGATGGGACTAAAAGCAGCTACTCAAGGTCTGAGGGTGAAGACGTACTGCTGATTGCAGAGGGCTGTGACAGCAGTAAGGTGTTTCCCTCGGACAACCAGCATCTGCAGCGATGCTGCCTTGTCACAAGGAAGGAAGAGTTAGAAAAGGTCGACCCTAAAAATGACACACCTCACCCTACCTCACGGATTTCCGTCTCCGTCGGTAAGGGTGCCCACTAAGGGCTTTTAAGAGTGGAGCTAATACTCAAAAATCCTCTCATAAAAAGGCTGTGCGTGACCAGCCTCAAGCAGTTGTCCCTTGGGCTCTGCGGTCACGCTCCCAGGTCTCCAAGACCAACACTAATCTACCTTCCTTTTCAGGTCCCTCAAGAAACATACCTTCCACGGTGTGGGCAGCCGGGAAGTGACAACCGCACTCATGCCCGTAACAGCACACGAGACCAAATTGGTCAAAATCAAATCCTTCTTCCTTTACTTGACTGTACCTAAGCATTTTAGCAATAAGTTTTGAATTCCTGTAATATGTAGGTACACACAATTCACCACGCCAGAATCACTCATCTTATAAATCGCAATCACATATAGTCCAGACTACAAGCTTCAATCATATAACTGGTGAAACTTCGTAAATATTCTTTTCATCTTATTAGCAGAGCATCTACATTGTTGCCTATTTCAGTACTTTGAGTATTTCTTATTTCGTTATCTTTCCCTAAGGTTTTAGGTTTAACTTTTATTCTACCCTATCTAATAGCCCCTTGGAATAATAGTCTAACGTTTACTACTAGTATCAAGCCTTTAGTTGCTAGGTAGAACGTCTACTGATTGATTTTTCCTACTTTTATCAGTATACAGTAACATTTAACTTCACCCGCTATATGATTACTTTGTTTACAGCTTCTTATGGGTGTTTTTGCACGCGTAAATGCAGTCGCATTCTCTGAAGATATACCATTAAATGAAACTGCTTGGGCTGCTAGTGGCTATGCTCCTTTACATGTGGAAGAAGCCTATGTAATGGTGTCGAATAACTGTTTTATAGCTGCTGGAATATACGTCGTTTTGCTAATTTTTTCAGGTGTTCAATACTATTTCAATAAACGAGCCAACTATTTAGCACATTAAAGCCAACTATTCCATTTACATATGCATAATATTTACCATTTTTGTAAAATTCTTTCTAAATTAGAACCACTGATCCATAAAGTGGAGGTTTTAATATATGATTCTTAACTAAAAAACAATTTGACAAATTGTACTAATTACGTAGATTACCGTATTTGCTAACTTTTGAAAGATTCCTTACGATAACATCTTGTTTTGATTTTTATCTGTTTACAAAGGATAACAAGGTGTGTTAAAAAATTACAAATCTACTGGTGGTAAAATGCATCTAGCGTCGACGGGTTACGATATCCATAAAAAACTGGGACCTTGAAATTTGTATCTCTATAAGAATTTGATGGAGACGTTTATATATAAATGGGAAGAGACAAGCACAGACTTACAATATTATTTTAATATTTAAATCACGGTTATTAACACATCTACATTTGGAACACAGGCACAAAACAAAAACAAGATAGAAAGAGAAGTAAAATGTTAATTCCATATTCAAGATATCACACAACAATAGTTAAATACATTATGGATTTTTGTAGGCATAGAAAATAGTAAAAGGTGAAAGCAATTAAAGTATAAGAGTACCCCGAGTTCCTGATCCGCTAATTACTGTATTTATATAATGTTTGTGTACGCATAAATTAGTTGAGTTAGATTTAAATCACAAAATCAAGAGGTGGCGCTCTTAGTCCGTCAATAACAATTATCATCATTGTTTTTGCTCTCAATTTTCAATTAATACACAATAGTTCAGTGAATAGAAATTATATCAGTAGTTTGAAATCATTATCAGTAGGTATTAAAGTCATTTAAGCAAGACAACAAATATATAGATAATAAAAAAAGCTTCGCCAAATTTATGATTTGTGTTCATGACAAATAAATAATCTGAAATCATTAAACGGGACAAGGAAATAAAAGCTGTGAAAAGTAGGTTCATGTATACATATTTATAGGTGAATGTATATATATATTTATATAAGTAAATTGTCGGAATGACTAAGAGGATCTTCGAAATTTATATTTTTGTTTATGTTTTGCATCATCAGCAACATGAAACAAGAATAACGACACTAATAAACCTGGTGTACAGAGAGATGAGGTAGCTGTATATTATTTGAAGACTGAATGTATAATGTGTATAAATTGGAAAGTGTGTTAGTAACTACAAACCTCATTCTGTCTGTAAGCCAAAAGTTAAAAAAATGTACAAATTTCGCCTTTTTATAACTACTGAAAAGATCTCCAGAATAAGATGAACATTAAAATCACACTTTTTATACTAGCACAGAAAATCGCTGGTGCATAGTTTGATAAATATAATCTATTTGTATGTCATGTAAAACCACTTCAAATATTTGTTTTCAGCATAGAACTTAACAATAAGCGGTAATCTTTGAAACGGAATGGCGCTGAAAGCAATAAGGCGCTTTATCTTGTCAGTCCTTTCAAATTTGATGTGGTTTGATAAGAAAGACGTTATAGGAGGGAAACTACCTCATCAGCCATGATCAAATATTGTGTATCCTAACTTTGATTCCTAAGCTGAGTCATCTGTCTCATTGTTCGCAAACGACACACTATTTGTCGGTTCTGTGTCTTGATTGGTTGGCTCGATGCCTGCGGTTGTGATCGCACAAGAACCTAGTCTGCTCTGTGGAGACGTTTGGTCAGGATGGTACAACGAAGAAGGATTATCAGTTTTCTCCATCATAGTATTTGGGACAGAATCCCCGGTGAAATTCAGCACATTATCTTCTAAACCAGACCTCGAAACTTGCTTGTTAAGGGATTTGACGTGATTTAGACCGGACTTGTAAACCAGAGAATTATCCAACAGGCATGAATTCATTACCAATTGACTTTGAGTAAATAGCTCATTTGACTCTAGTAAGTAGGGAAGGATCTGAGCGATCGATACAGAACCAAGCAAATCTGGTAGTAAAAAAAGAAAGGTTTGAAAGTTTACTTCGTGGTCAAATAAAACAAGGTATATTATCAAATGTTAATCGGTTATTGCATCTGATTGTAGAGAACTACTACCTCACAGCTGAAACCGATAAGATCACTCATTTCCGTATAAACTACTAACTCCCACTGATATTTTTCGTGATTAATATACGAGTGACGGAATACCCTAGTAGGCCGTTCTTGAGAATTGCTATGCTCATACCAACGCTCACTTCATTTGTGAAATCCTTCTGAAACAAGACGTTTTTAGTAGTTATAATTAGTCAGTTAGCCACTTGTCTATGAACAGAATGTTTACATTCACTTTTATTGGATAGTTATGGTCGGGAATGCAGATTAAGGACTGTCAGGTTGATTGAATCCCAACTGTGAACTTGACAGTTTCCCGACTGATTTTTACGTATGGACTGTAGCAGCAACAATTGAAATCTAAGGATATTTAGATTAATCATAATCAGTCGGATTTTTATGAGTGCACTCGTCTGTGTTGATAAATCATTACTGATGCATAATTTTGAAGTAAAAAGATGAGGAAATTGTACCGACAAGTTAGGTCATGTACACGCAGTGCAGAGTCCCAAACTAGTTACGTAAACTCCTAACACGATGCAACGTATATGAACTCGAATAGGCTGAATAACTCCATACAGCAATACTTCAACGTTGATATTAAGGAAGACAGGACTTCTAGGATAACTTTACGGAAGTCAAACTTGGAAGGGAACGGTTGTTTTTTTATAACAAACAATGGTACCTAGCAGTTACTTTGATGATAGTATAGAGATTGTCACTGAATGATAAGCTACTAACCAACAGAAACTATGCTTTTGTATAAAGAAAGATATGTCAACAGTCGAAAAGTGCCGAAAAAATAGCTCCGTGTTCACTTGTACATTGTATGTTTAATAAAATATACGTTTCACTTAAGTGCTTCAGAGGGAACCGAATACTTGCAATTTCGTCTATTTCTATCTATCCAACCATCAAAGGAATACAATATGATGTTATGAAAAAACCTATCAACGGAAAAAAAAATTAGACTCACTTGAAAAGAATGCTTCTTCTAAATCTTTTGGATCTAAGTAACGTAGTGTAGATAATAATTGTGTCAATATAAGAACTCTTTTAATAACACTTTTTGTTCTTTTCGATGAAAGCGAACCAGTGCCTGTTGTAGATGCTGCTGCACGTGTAGACAAGAATTCAGAAAACTCGCTTAATACACGTGATTCCATTTCAGTAATTTGTTTGGCTAAACTAGCATCTCTTGCATTAATACATAAACGACCTTTAGAAATGAAAATTAAATTATGAATTAATTAAGAGAGTTATTCAATTTCTACAATTAATAAATTCATTAGAAAGTCTCATCACTTAGTGAAATTAGTTTGAAATAATCATAAATAAGCCTATTTATATCCAGTAAATTAATTAGTGCAAAAGAACAATAGTGTCTAAAATCTATTTCTATACTGATTAAAACCTTTCACCAACTATAGAAATCTTACAAATACTGATTAAAATCAATGGATATATGAAACCGTCGGGAAAACGATTCCTAAAATTAATTTGTATAATATATAATATTGTAAATAAATCGATTACCAATAAGCAGTTATTTGTTAATGTTTATCCAATGTGAACTAGTATACGATTTCCTTTAGGTTAATAGCCAATATTTTGTTTAAGTAGAATTAGGATATTTTAGTTTATTGGGATTATGAATCGATCATTGTTAAACCATCATTAGAAACATGCATGCGTTGGCCGGTCATTTCGTTTTAGTAAGGGGCCTATACACGAGCCCCGCACGCAGGAATTGAATCCAGGACTTTCGGTCTTGCACGTCAGTGCTTGACCCCTAGGCCACTGAACCGGCACTCAACGGTGTTAATGTCTAGCTTGAATAAATCCAAAGTTTTGCGTAACTTCAACCATTATGATACTAGGTTAGTAAACACATACAACCGACAGAGTTGAACTCCACTGGTCACTGCTTCTCAGTAGAACTCCGAAAATTTCCTCACGAAGCTAGTCACTTGTGAGCACATTCTTACGATTTTCCACAAAGAAAGTTATAGAGATTATTGATTCAGTTTAAAGTTTAACAATGAATATCATCTTACATGAATTTTACGTAATATATAAAACTAGCGTAACTTTATTTTAATGATAATATGATATAAATATCAGAAACAATGTTGTCACATATTCATATAGTGAATATCATTTTACTCACCGGAGCTAAGTATAACCATACACCTAAGATAAGTATATTCATGTGTATCAACTTCAGCTCCAGAAAACTGCTTCATCAATTGTTCCACTAATTCTATCACAGCCGAAGATGATGAACAATTTGTTTTTAGGCATGAAGTATCCATTGATTCTTTGCCAGGTGAAATGTGTGACGATGATGATGATGACGCGTCAAAATTATTTGATTTAAATGAATTAGTTGGTGCAGTAGTAGTAGTACCACAGGGAGAATTTGTTTGTTGTTCTCCTGAGATTTGTTTAGCTATCACGAAGTGTAAAATAGATAAGTGAAAAAAAAACACATTCATAAATGAATGAACACTGAAATTTCTATGAAATTGAAAATATATGAGAATATATTATCAATACCATAAACGAAATAAGATCCAATAAACAACTTATTTTAAAAAAAACTCAAGACATTCATTTAGTGATAATGGCAGCAAAACATTTACTTATCAAATAAAAACAGTTGAAACACATCACATCGCATAGTATAAATAATGATTTATACTAAATTATTTATAATTACGTGATTCAATCAGTTCAATTCTTGAATAATTAGTAGGTTAAATCACGAAAAATATCGATAAATTTCTAAAGAGAATTCGATAGGTTATTCAAGAAAAAATGATTAAATTAGTGTCTTTACAAACTGACTACTGCTTATTAATAGAGTAGCTTCGCGAGAATTCCAAAAATATAAACCCATTAACAGTTCAATTCCTGATCAAACTCCACCACTCGAATTGATAATCAAAACATTAAAATCAACTAGCTCAAAAAAAGCTCAGACAAAGAATGTGTGCAAAAATTAGCTATAGCGACCCACCATTCCAAACCCGATTTCTGTGTACAGAAGAGCCGTGTTCAATCTCTTATTCTTCCATGATCTTAGCACTCTTTGTAATTTTAAAAATCGTAAGTGCCAATTATTACCTTATTCTTCACCTTCCTCTGATCTTTTATGAAGACAGTTGTCTTTGGCATTAACTGTACAAAATTTTAATTCTTATCACTTCCGAAAGCATTACATAACTTTATTAGCAAAGGTAGATAAAGGCTAGCAGTGGAAACCGGGATGCGTATTTCATATAAATTGGGATTCGTCAGCTGGATGTGACTGAATTTACTCTAAGACTCAAATCCAGTACGTTCCGCAATTGATCAATCTCTTTGGCATATGTGTGGATTACCTTCGCGTTAAAAGCAGTATTAGCACAGATGCAGCTGACAAGTCTCAAATAAGACGAAACGCGAGTCCTTGCTTCTACTGCTAGCTATTGTCAGTCAGCCTCTGCTGATCATGTTTGTAACCTAACGACAATATCGAGGCAGAATGCACATATGTCAAAGGGACTGATCAATTGAAGTCGTAAGTATCAGTGGAAAGATTCAAACAACCAATACAAATGCACTACATAACCTTAGTTCTTAAAAAATTTTGACTACTTTACTAAATGTTTCAACACATTTAATTTAATACTTGAAAACTTTGACTACACTGAAATGACATTTTTTCATTTTCCTAAATTATTATATTCAATACTTCAAATCTTTTGGTAATCTTAGGAGTATCTTACGCAATACTAAATCATATTTAGTGGCTTTTACTTAAGTTGGTTTGATTATTCTTGATCATTTTGTAACACTCCTCTATTCTACTATAGATCAATACATATGAAAAATTACTCATATGTACAGCTTCAGAAAATTTAATCTTCGAAAAGAAGATTTTCTTTGCTGAAACATCTTTATTTCAAAAATTGTTAACTCACCTCTTGTAGAATTAATATCGTTCTGTGTACATAAGTTATTTGTTGATTGTGAATCATTTGATTCTTGATTTGATGGTTTATGATTCTGAGAACGATTAACTTGATCAGCTGCTTGACATAATCCAAGTACAAACAAATCAGACCAAGAAATAGCCACTAAATCACGTTGAACACCAATTCTAAAAAAAAAAGGAATAAACAAAGATTTTCTCATCGTTTGTTTAAAACATTGATGAAATCATGATTACAATGTGTGTTGTATGATCGGAAGTGATGTTAGTGTTATTTTTAAAGTCATATTTCAAGGTGAAAATAAAAGTCGACAACGAAATTTCACTTCAGTTATCTAAGTGATCTGAAAGTGTTCAGAAGGAAAGAACATAAAGGTTGAATCATCACATAATAGTGACTGATGTAAATAAAAGCTTGTTACACAACATCGAACAACGTTCTCTAGTTTTATTGATCTATTCGAAGCACCAAATGGTGACAAAGTGAACTTTTCTTTGCATACCATAATATTAAATCAGTTCGTTAACTAATACTTGGTGAATAACTAGTTTGAGATCGGCTTTATATTGATTGGGAATTATAGATGGACATTACCCCGTTCTACCTGTGTATCTGGAAACTAAGAATCACTGTTTGGAAGAGATAATTGAAATGTAAATCTAGTAAGTAGTTCACTAGGAACTGTGTGACATTACTATCTTTATTCATTTCTCAACAGTCAAATAACAACAACAACAACAAATAACACTTCAACTTAATCATAGTAAGTCAAATATGTCGAATTGCTACACAACAAAACATGGTTCATTCTTGTCATCAAACATTTGTGCTTAGGCATTAAATCAACTTATATATGCAGTACATTTCCATATTATTTAAAATGAACCGAAGAAAAACAAATAACTTATTTTCCAATAAAGCTACGACGTGACTAATATCAATGAAGACAGAATATACATGTAGCCATTGTTAATCAATTTGTCAATAAACTGAAAATTATCATCTATATCGATGTGAATGATGCATTTTATGAAATTTACATTTTCAATAATTTCAGGAAAGAATGTAATGTGATATCAATCATATTCACATTATCTATACATATATATCACACGTATAGATTTAAAAATAACCTTGACACTAGAGTACAATATTCAATAAGTTTTAAACAATTTCATAATTCCAATGATACATAAAATTGATGATGATATTTTGTATGTAGGTGATTAAAACTCTCATAAATCTGATACTTTTAACGGATCAAAAACTACCAATACTGTAGTATTTTATGGATCTATTCATACATACATACATACTACATACACGCATACATAATAGAGATATACAGAAACTTGATTTTTTATTAAAAAAAATATAACTCGAAACAAGGGGTGCTTTTTTTTTTACTGTTCTTACCCCCGCTATATAAAGTAGTTTAATCCAGTTAAAAGAATTCATTAAACGTCAGAAGGTATCTCTTAATGATGCAACACAATGAAAAAAAACGCAACAAAACACTGCATGATTCATCATCTTTTCTCTCCTTCTGTTTTCACAATATGGTGAATGTGAATAAACTAATTGAAAAAAATTATAAAAAACTACACACGAAGATATTTTTAAATTTAAAATTTCCAGGTCAAAAATGCAGCATTCATTTAGCATGATTGTAATAATGTGAAAATGATTTACAGAATTTATTCGGTTTTTTTCTAGGTGACATGAGATATTAAATATGAAAAAAATTTTCTAGTTAACACTTAAATATAAAAATATATTGAAAATTCACTTTAAAGTGAATCGATAAATGAAATTATAAAGCATAATTTTTATAGTGTAAGTTGTTTTTCATTTCACTTTTTTTGAATGAATCCAAGAGTAGAATGAAACTATTGTTCAGTAATATGTTCAGAGATGTCAACAACAGGTATTATGCAGTAATAACATTGATTGAGAAAATTTAATAATTGTCAAAAGAAAACAAAAAATCAGTTCAATTTTCTTGAAAACTTAATTCAATTCACTGTTCGTAGAATTCCATGTCATGTTAGCTTTAGATTGTTTTGAAAACAAAGTAGATTATTAGTATTATTTTCATTATAGGGTTGTGGAGATAGTTGAGTTCCATTGAATACATGAAACGATCAATGGTCAGACCACCATTAGAAACCTGTATGAAAAATGTGACTAGCTTCGTGAGGAGATTCTCGGAGCTCAAGTAAGAAGCCGTAACCGGTGGAGTTGAACCCTGTCGGGTATGATGTAGTAACTACCGAAGACAATTGGTCAGATTGCGCCATACCTTGGACTGATTTAAGTTTGACATGAGCTCAGTGGTCTACAGGTTATACATTTGCACGCGAGACCGAAAGTCCTAGGGGGTCGTGGATGCACAATGCTGATGAGTCCCATGATAGGGCGAAACGGCCATCTAGTGCGTACAGGTTTCTAAAGGTAGTTTAACATTGACCGATTCGTGATTTCAATAAAACTATTATTATGGTTTTTGAGAATAGTAAAATAAAATATTAATCACGATAATTTTTTTACAAAGTTTTATGATTTATTAATATTTTACGTTTCAATCTTCAAATATTGATATAAGTAGATTTATAACTACATTAATGAACAATATAAAGTAGGAATATGATTTGTATACATGATTTTAAACTTGAACACTGTAGAAATCGATAAATTAGTATTGTGAAAATATTTTGTACATCAATTCTTCATAAAACAATCATGAGTGAAAACGTATACTGGATATAAAAATAATTTTGCTTACGGTAGACGTTTTAAACCATCAAATCGACGTAACCAATCCACAGTAAGAAATAGAACTCGTGAAGCTAGTTCACTTGATATACTGAGAGATCGATTGTTAGTGTTATCCTGATATGCTTTAAAAACATGAGCATTTAAATCAAACATTGAATTCAATAAAACTGGTCCAACCAAAGGACTATTAGGTCTAGAATTATCTGGAGATTTAGTATGTTCAGAAACATTTTCTGTTATTCTATTCTCATCATCATCATCTTCATATGTTTCTCGTGTATCGATCAATCCAGTAGAATTATTTGTTCCCGATTGAAATGAATTACTACTTTGTGTTCGTCGACGAATTGATTTAGCGCTAATGTTAACATCGGAAGGATATGAGTAATGCATTTTACGTTTACGACTTCTTGACCAATTTGTTTCCTCTTTCTTTGGAGATGGATAATTCAGTGATTCATTGTCTGGTCGTAATACTGTTGTTACATCGGATGATGAAGTAAGATCAAACTTTTTCGGCAATAAATGACCATTTACATCTAAATCAAATAGAAATTTATTCAAAATAGAATAAAACACCAAATGACTATTTACATATATAACATATCTACAATAATAATGTATTCAGAGTTAATCAAATGAATCCTATTATCATAAATATGGATACTGAATAAACATTATTTAGCTTAGGTATAATAAGAATGAAGAACGTTCGTGGATCAAATAGGTACTTTAAGTAATGTTGCATTCTCCATGCTGCATAACTGAAAAGCATTTATTGAAATTCTAGATATCATCAGTGCATATTTCAAGTAAAAGGTTTAAATAACATTTAGAATTATAATGGAAGCCTCACAATTCAACTACCCGGGGGTTGGAGGATGCAGTATTATCAGAGAAAATGACAGTGAAATATTCTGATTGTCTCTTAACAGAAAAAATTTCTTAACAAGATCACTAATTATAATATTGAAATTATTATTTAAAGTTTACATGAAACATAACGTCCAAGTTAGAGGAAATAAGTTCTTTCTAATTTGAAATACCATAGGTTACCTGTGAATATTGATGGACTGATTGTCATGAAAATGAATTTTCCAACGATTATTAAATCACAATCATTTTGAATAATCTTTTTGAAGCTACCGTAAATCCTAACAACTTTATCCAAACAAATTAACTAGCAAGTAGTCAATCGCACAATCCGAAGAGCTCAATGTTATCATCTTAGATTTTAGTGCTGTAAAACGAAAGAACTATCGGTTACTTAAAATGGATGTGTAGACCTTATTGATGGTTACCAACCAGTACATACGTTGAGAGTTCCCTGTTACCTACAACTGATCATCTAACAGATAAACTTTATTTTACAAAGATTATATTTATCTTTCATATTTCAATCAGCTCTACATGATAACAATAATCTTAGTCAAAACAGATTTTTGTTCAAAGTTCAACAAGGATAATAAGAGTTAATGATGTAGTTAATTGTGGATTAAAATTGGTATTCTCATTCTGTAATTTAGAGAAAAGGCTACATTTATTATATAAGAAACCAATTTAACATGGACGAAAAATAAATGTGAAATTACAATTGATTTCTTTATCTCACTAAATATTGAAAATTGAACTTAGTTAGTGTTAATTAGTATGCATCAGCCTAGAATATGTCATGAATGTTCATTTTTACTAGTTATTATAAATCATGATAAAAATTTAAGGCAAACTATAATTATTTCGATTATCTGATCTATTTGAATTAACATTTTAACCAATTACCATAGCTTCTCAAATGGCAAATTTCTAAGCATATATATATATGGTATTAAAATCCAAAATACTAAAAACAAAATAAAAATTCAATCTAGTTTTATTTGCATAATCTTATTGTGTACTTAAACAAAACAAAAAAGAAACACATGTGTGCTATGAACTTAGAAGTTAGCTTAATTCTTCCATACCTTTTTCACCCTATCAATCATCACAAATAGATACAAAAATCAATAACATAGAAAAGATTATGATCATTGAGATGATGCAAGTCATTGTATTCTGTCATAATTAGGATGTTTGATTTCATTAGTTTATGGACTATAAGGTTGGGGGTCACAGTGAATATGTAGAATCAGTGCAATAAATTATCAATTTTTTCATGTTACTCACAAGATCCTTTACTATGCAATAATTCTCATAATCATGATACTACTTGTTAAGTGAATATTGATTATTATCAAAGTGATTGGTACTTTATAAAATTGAATTATTCAAAGTCGAACTCTCCTGTCGATTTTCAAAACAGTAATTTCAATGAGCTTAAGTTATATCTAAATGAGAGATACGAAATGGGATAGAAGGCATACTCAGTATTATTCTAGGGTTGTATTGATTATTGGAAATACTAAAATAAGGTTAATTCTGTTTCATCCAATCACTCGGTTACTTTTAATTAAACTATATTTCATAGAGCTATTTCAGCTAACTTTAGTTAAGTCATCGAAATTCATTAAGACAAATCTGGATCACAGAAAGATCAAACACAATAGTCTTTTTATCTCTTATCGATCAAAGTTGAAAATTAAACTATCAAATAAGGTTAGATCTCACTCCATCTATAATTCAATAAGGATTATAATATTGAGATACAAATTTTTTCTTGTGATTTTCCCAAGAACACAACACATATTAAACCACAGAATAGATATGAACTACAATCAACAACGTTTCAAGTATGATAATTCAGTTACAGTTATAACTTTACAAGGAAACAGCCAGTTAAACAAAGTATTATTATGAATCAAAATTGAATTTATGCAAAGCTAGCAGACACAAGAATAGATCGGAAAACAAGTTAGCGGTTACTAAAACAAGCCGTGACATCAGATTGTAAGTGCATTGCCTTTTGAAATGAGTATTTTCAGTAGGCTTAAACATCCTGGTCTGAATTCCCTAGAAAATCGTGAGCCAAAATAAGAGATGTTGAGTAACATAACTCAGGATCCGTTGCAATGGTGTAATTGCATTCATTTCATGGTTATGTAAATCTTAACCATATCATCTCGTTCCCTTCTGCTATCCATTTCATCTGCTGCATCCACTAGAAATCAAATTTCTTATGTTTAACTTTCAATTGTAATTAATGATATTTTCATTTCTTTGTTTCTGATTTTAGTCGACTGATGTCCTGTGATGTGAAGTGTAGCAGCTCTGATCGATGCATATTTCCACCTTGATCTACACATTGCCTATCATATTAACTCTTGAACAAATACTCTCAACTATTTAAAAGAGATTTGGAGCAGAGTTGATCAATCAGACTGATACTTTGATTTATTTTTTTTGGTACTCTAAATGCATTCTAAATACATTCGTATAGTGAGCTGAATATCAGTGCAAAACCAAAAAAAACAGATTTTTAAGTTTCCCTAGGATTTGAATGTCAGAAATCTAGGTTGAAATTTCAATCATATGATTTAATTCTATATTTACATCATAAAATAAAATAATATGTGAGCCAATCTCTATATGTGCTGAATGTGATTTACTTTAGTCTAACTATAGAAAAAAAATAATAATCAAGAGAACGTGTATAATTATTTGTTGAATTCAAAAACATGTGAAATTTTATCGCATCTTCAAGCAGTAAGACAAAAAAAATCGAATAATAAGGTTTAACAAAATGATGTAAAGTGACAGTGATACATCAATAGGTAAGCAGTAAAGCTACACATATATACATAATGTCAAACGTTAAATTTGTCAATGGTTGTTAATATGATCATAATTATGACGCTCAGTTTTGAATAATGGAAATACAACTACACTTGGCATTCTATCCTGAAATTATTGTCCCAACAAATGATTAGTTCCCACTATTTTGTTGTGTACTGATTGGAGAATATGATCTAATAGTTTAGGCATCTATTATCAATAAGTTATTATTATTATTATTCTACCGTGATCAAACAAACAAGAAAAATCAGCAATATCGCATAATACTGATCATAAATTTAGTTAAATTATTATCATATTCTTTTGTTTAATACCTAAAAAAAGTGTAAATGAATTTAGAACTATACATAAATCAATTAAACCTTATATTGTTTAGTAAACCAATATCTATCTATCTATTTATCTGTATGATATGGTCAAACAACTATACATTACACATATATATATACATACTTATTGACGCACCATAGTGCATAGAATCAATACAGATGTAAGCATATGAATTAGATTGACAAAAATAGAGGTTAAAATCAAATAATTCGAGGACACATTGAGGTCAAACAAACAAGGTCAAGGCTAAATTGAACAAAAAAGCATACACGTGATATACATAAAGTGAAGTAAGGATCTTCAATGTTAAACCATACAAAAATGCATACATACACTGGATACACATATATGCACAAATTAAGCATAGAATAAAACATGCTAAAGTACACAATAGATCGTTAAGCGATGTCAGCATGAATGAAAGTAGGTCAGTGAATAACTACCAAAATGGTATATCAAGTTTACGAAAGTCTATATCTACTATTGAACAGATAGATGTATGCGAATAAATGTCTGCATAGTTTAGTGGACTAACAAAATTGGACTATATATAAATATACATATAAAGCTGAAATAAGGTCAAATGAAATCAGTCTCGTTTAATAATGTAAATGTATGAACTTAAAGTATCAAATACTATGATTATCACCAAAATTTTCGGCACAGTTATGCACTGAATATCTTTTTACAATCAATTTCGAATGTCAAATCATAATAAGAATAATAATAATAATATAAGTTCATAAAAGTATTCGCAAATTAATTTAATTAACAAATCTACAAGTGAATAAAATAACAATATATAGTGTATCAATTAGCATTAAATAGTATATGAGGTTAAATTTCAAAAAAAATAATACATTATGAATAGTATCATTGATTATAATAAATTAAACTAGTGATAGGGAGTGAGGTAGTCGAACATATAGACCGCTTCACGTAACAGGGAAGTCTCATTAGTGCTGATGACCTGGTGACTGACGAGATCTCAGCTCGGATACAGAAGGCTCGATTGGCTTTTGCCAACCTGCGTCACTTATGGCGCAGGCGAGATATCCGCTTGTGAACCAAAGGACGAGTGTACTGCGCAGCAGGACATGGCCGTTAAGAGTAGAGGACATTCGTAGGTTACTAGTCTTCGATCATAGGTGTATCCGAAGCATTGCTTGTGTATCCTAGGACGACCGGGTATGCAATGCTATCATTAGGAAACAAGTTCTAGGTAAGGATGGCAAATCAATAGATGAAGCATTGAAACTTCATCGGTTGAAATGGTTGGGACATGTGTTACGTATGGCTAACCACCGACTGCCGCGACGAGCTATGTTTTGCAGTGTAGGATTAGATTGGAAGAAAGCTAGGGGCGGCCAAACCAAAACATGGCAGATTTCCATGAAGTCACTGACAAGTGGACTGAGTCATGTTGGTAGATGTAGGCTATCTGGTTGGGGTCCGCGAGACTATAGTCACCAATGGCTAGAGACCTTGAACGACATGGCTCAGAATCGTTTGCAATGGCGCAGGTGCATCCACTCTTTGTGTGCTTTTTAATTCTAACCTTCTGAATTCCTCATAGCCTCTATCTTTCTCCTTTTAAATTTATTTCACTGAATTATACTTTTCGAATCATATCTTTGCTCCCTAATCTTCTCGATTGCTGCTAATAATTCTACTATCGCTATCACTCTTGGATTTGAACTGATAGTTACGTCTCTGTGCTAATGTGGTATGGCAACGTGAACTGATGTACTTATGTACGATGTTCTGCATTGCATCTATCTGGCAGTCTATCTATCTTATAATAGATTACGAACTGAAATTCTACACATTTACTGCATTACATAACAATAGATAATGAATGAGATTGTTAATTCAATTGTACTTTAATATTGTAATCACTGTTAATCAATCATAATATTCTCAAAACAAATGATAGTCTGATTTCACTACATATAAACTGATAGAAATAATAATATTTTACATTTTATACATTTCAGCTATCAATAATGGTTACAGAAAGAGAAAAGGTATGCTTGGTTGTAATCATTAGTATCTCGATCATGAGTTTCTCCAATCGAACAAATTAACACACCGCCGCTATCCTCACTAAAATTATCATCAAACACGATTATTAACTAAACCATTTAAAGTATTCTATTCAAATGAAGCATTATTCTTGTAGCACACACTGATATTTCAATATGAATGAATAAAGATTGAAATCAGAACCAATTCAATTTAATTTCAATGTGATCAATTGTCAAGTGGAACAATGATTCTAATTTACAAAATGATATGTCACATCTAGGGGTTTTATAAGACATTAATCTGTCGAACATAGAAACCTTGTATAAATTATCACATAAAACCAGTTTGTTTAATTTACTTTTTTTCTCAAAGTATAAGATAAATGTTGTTAATTAGCTTAATGAAAATATATTCTCACCTATTCAATTTTATTGTTTTAATGCGAAATATTAGTTAAAAATTTTGTAATTACAATTATATACAATTGAAATTATAGATACGATACATTATAAAATTTTGAACGCATACATTAACTGTGTACACTTATACTTTTTTTCAAAAAAAATAAATATAACCATCATTAATCATAGTATGTTTGAGTTCAATCGGTCGATTAAACATGAGTGACCAAACATCTAGTCCATGATATAAGACCTCAACCTGACAATTTCTAATGCTGAACTGAATCAATCTTTAATAGTTTCAAAACATTAATGATTTTCGATAGGCCGTCGTCGATTTGCATTATTTTTTATCTGATTTTAGTTGGTTTCAAGGAATGTACAATATTCAATATGAAAAAAAATATTTCATTTAGTATACGACGAAAGAAGTACAGTTTAATATTTCATTTTCATTACTCATTAATCATTATTAAAGGGAAACTGATAAATCCTACATACAACCTACCTCGATCAGTATTGATTAGTTGTTCACTAGAATCATGATCATTCTCTTCAATATTGTTTACAGTGCTACTATTACTACTTCGTCTTCCTCTAACATTAGTATTAGTGGTACTAGTACTAGTAGTAGTAGTACTAGTGGTAGTAGCAACCATACTACTGCAAGGACCATTCTTAGGTTTTGTGTCAGTATCGATTAAAGTATTTGTTTGACTATTTGAAGTACGTTTGCACAATAGTTGGATTAAATTTGTTGATTTGATCGGTGGAGGTGCTGGTATAAATGATGGATTATTATTAGTAACGGTATGCATGACACTATTATTATTATTATTATTGTTATTAATGGTTGGCACGTTGTTATTGAGTCCAAATAATGAAGCCGATAAGCAAGAAGATGCTGTATGAGGAGGAATAGGCATTTCAAATGTATTCGGTGAAGTGGATGATCGATGAGAATTTGAAGAGCCCATTTGTAATTGATGTTGTTGATAAGAATGATGCTGAGGCATGAAAGGATTTTGTTGACGAGATTGATGACTGACTGGTGCTTTTTGTAAATTTGCTGCCGTTGAATTAATTGCATCTGTCAATGCAGTGAAATTATTCAATCCACCAATATGATCTGATGAATTTAACATAATTGACATTAACATATTTAAAGCATCTGTATGATTGTTTACAGTAGATAATAATGCTGATTTAGACGAATGATTTAAACCATTAATAAGTAGTTGATTTTCTAAATTACAATGTTGTCCTAATACACTGTTTGAATGTGTTTTCATATTGAATTGTGATGTAGAATTTTGACTGGAACCAATAGTTGTTGATGTGGTTACAATTGGAGATTGTGATGTTTTCAATGGTGATAATGATGTTTTTATGTCGAGTGGATTGAAATTTTGATTTGAAGTAGATAAATGCATTGAATGATTCTGTTGTTGTAGTTGTTGTTGTTGTTGTTGTTGTTGTTGTTGATGATGATGATTTTCATTCTGTTGATGATGTAAAGTATTTAAAGATCCAGCTGCAGTTGCAGCAGCTAACCAATAAGTGTACAGTGCAGCTAAATTACGTCCTTGTTGATTAGATGAAGATGACGATGTTGATTGCAAGGAATTTATATTGCTCAAAGCTAATTTAGTGAATTCATTCAAATTCAATCCACCTGTATCATCGAAAATTGGCAAAGATTCTTGTTGATTAGACACAGTTGTTGAAGATGAACATGGTGTGTTCGAGAACGAAGTCTACAATTGAAATAATATAAATTTAGAATTATTCTTTGAATGTAGTATCAATATCAAACCAATAAACAACTAGTTATTAAAAAAAGATTGTTAAACCTTTTACATCTAAACACAATAAAAACTTCATTTATTGCTTCTTTAGTTTTCATTTTTAACTTATCATAAATTCATATTCGTAGATTTCTAATTACAGTTTCCGACTAAGATATTCGATTACATTGTTTCTTTTGTTCAGATTCAATGCTAAATAAAAAAAGACGATACATACATTCATTTATGAGCTTCTCTGTAGTAAGATATGGCGTACCTCAAAAAACTCGTTAACCGGACATACACTACCGCATTGAACCATGCTCTAAATATTGAAGTTAGTGACAACACCCGATCTTCTAAGCCAAAGTGGAGCAGGGCTCGAACATGTGAATTAACGAATGAAAATTAAACTGTTGAGCCACCTCGCTGTTGCGAAAAAAAGATGAATATAATGAACTATATATATATATATATATATATATATATATATATGAAAATATGCAATCGTTTATGTAACGAAAGTTGCAGTTTGCAGGCCGAACTATTTGCAAGGCGAAAACCAACACAGTCGAAGTACGGTAGTAAGTTGTATGATAACATCACAACAAAATGTATCAGTAGGAAGTAAACTAGATTTTAGTGGATTTATATTTAGAAAAAAATAAGCAATATCGTAATAATAATCATACCATTCGCCGAGAATAAGATTCTTGAGTTGCGCCTCGTTTATTATCAGGTATATTAAAAAGCTGTGAACTAAGAAGAGTGTTTCGATTCATAGAACGGCTGAAATTGGCAATCCCACAGTCTGAATCAATGTGACTAGTTGTATGACAACCTTCTGGCATATTACCATATGGGGGTAGTGCATTAGCATAAGCTGTACTATTTTTATTAACATTACTGCTATTCACTGAAGATGTTGAGCGTTGGTGAGTAAAAGATGAAGCTGAAGTGGATATACATACAGTAGGAGGCTGTTGAAGGGAATGTGATGTAACTTGAGGTGAGCTACATAAATTCGGCGTAAATTTTAATCCTAATGAAGTTTGAGTAATAGGAGGCTTAATATCCTGTTGTAAGTAAGATGCATTATTGGAATCATTGATTTCAACATCTGCTACTGTAGCTGAATGAGAAGAAGACGATGACGATGAAGATGAAATATCGCTTAAAGCAGAGTTTTTAGTGATTCCTGTGACGTGATTATCATCTGAATGCTTCGATCCTATGCCTCCTGAAGCCAACCCCAGCGATGATGATGATGATGATAATAACCCCACTGTTGTCGTTACTGACGACGTTACTGGCAGTGAACGAGATGAACCAAATGGGGAACTATGAGATGATGATTGACTTTCCTCAGATTTCTGTGTTATAAATTCTGAATGATTATCATGATGGTGCTCATCCTCCAATTCTTGGGAATTCGATTCAATTTTACACAATATTTGTTGAGACTGCGGTGAATTGTTACGAACATTTGTGATTGATGTTCCAAATGTTGAAGTGTGACTGCTATTATTATTATTATTACTATTATTATTAGCAGCGGCGGCAGTTGAGGTTGTTATTGTTGTTGTAGAAGTAATCGAAGCAGTAGATGTACTATTGTTACTATTAGGATTAGGTGAACCGCCAGTAGTTGTATTATTTGAATTACCGACATTGTCATTTAAAAAATTCAACGCAAATGTATTTGTAGGTCTACGTTCATTTTGCACAGCTTCTGAACGCATGCCAACGGCTAAGCATTTTTGTAATCGACAATATTGGCAACGATTTCGATAGGCTTTATTTACAAGACAATTTTGTTCACTACGACATACGTAGCTAACATGTCCTCGAATAGAACGTTTGAAGAATCCTTTACATCCTTCACATGATACAACACCATAATGTCGTCCTATACAGAAAATGGAATAAAAAACATCTATCAGCTATATGAAAACCAAGTAAATAGAAACAAAGAATATTTTAGTCATGTTATATCATCACTTGAAACTTTAAATAGAACATAACAATTAAAATTCTCACTAACTGATGTACAACTTGAGCATCATCGAGTATTGTTGAGAATATAGTTTGCCGTGCACAAATCACGATCACTCAAAATTACAGTTACACCTAGCTGACAAGCTCCAACTAGCATGATACCTACAGAAAGGATCTCTCTTACCGATTACCTCTAACCATCTAATATAAAACATGATCCGCTTGTATTTGTCTATCCAAGTCCACAATTTTATGAGCTGTTCAGTCATCAAGATCAATAAATTCCACACCGGACTATTTTATTCAAAAGTGTTCAGTAGTTAATTTGCTTAATTGTTTTTAATTAACACGGATACTTCTAGCAAGCTTTACAAACAAAAATAATTCCACCAGTCATTACTTTTCACTCGAACTCCGAGAATCATCATTTGTAGCTAGTCCCTAATGAGCACATGATAATTGTAAGCAGAGGGTTGTGGGAATTAATGAATTTCATTGAAGTCCTGAATTAAGCTAGACAACTTTTGAGACCTTTGAAGCACTGGAAGACCTTCCGTTTTAGTACGGGACTCCTCGGTACTACATATCTACAACCCAACACGTGCGAATCAAGCCCAAGACACTCGGTCTGGAGCATGGACGCTTGACTCATAGACTATAAGATGGCTTCCAAAGTGGTAATGTCTAGCTTCAATCAATTCACGACATTGCGTGACCATCTTCCATCGGATTCGATTCCCACATATAGGTGGGTCGTGGATGTGCACTTCCAAGGAGTCGCATACTAAAAACGAAACGACCGTTCGTCCAGTGCCTCCAGGTTTTCAATGGTAGGCTAAATCGAACCGATTCGAGGCTCCAATGAAATTCAACAATCTCCACAACCCTATACTTAAAAAAACAATGACAGAAAAAATAGCTCGAAGTAAAAAGACATAAGAAAAAGAAGAATATTCGGATATAATTTTAATTCAAGTAATATAATGTAGGCTGTATTATTACTGTCTTTCATTTACAAGTCATACACATGTAGGAACTTATTTAAAAAAATATCTAGAAAAACTATCCTTTTTCGTCAACAAATAAGTCATATTAACTAACTAAACAAACTAATAGTCTATCTAGGCCAGGAAGAAAACAGAAAAGTTGAGTAGACAAAGACGGAAATAAGAGTGAGAAAATAAGAGACAAAGTAATAATCAATACGAAATCAATCAATACATCCATCCATTTAAATAACACAGCAATAATAACAATAACAACAATTTGGTCTGCCAAAATGATTAACAAACTGTTTGTTTGTAGAGTGAATGATATACAACAGAAATAAAGAAATTTTCATTATAATTCAGATCTAGAATTCTAATTGTCAATAAAAACGTATCAATGAATGGTCAATTCTTATCAATGATGATTCGTTTATGTTATTGCTTGATGAATAGGTCAAATGAAGCTAAAACTCAAGTTATTTTTCATTAGAATAGTTTATACTCTAGATATTTGTAAATTGAAGCGTAACATTTCAATGAGTTTACATACACAACTGACAGTACATAAGTACAATTAATAAAAAGTAAAATGTGAAGTTCATTTCAATGAGAAAAAAGAAAAGAGAATATAAAACACCAAAAGTTTATGAATAATAATAATAACTATTATTATCATAATTATTGACCACATTAGATATTGCACAGAAAATCAATTGATTACCAGTAGATAATACTTCCAGTCTATGAATACTTTAACCTCATTGATTGAATGAATTGAAAACACATGAAAATAAGAGTTATGTTTTATCGTGTAAAGTCTATCTAGTTCTCTCAACTACAGTAAGTTATTATGAAATTTAAATATTTGAAACATTCATTTAAAGATAAGCATAAATAGTTAAATTACAGAGTCCTATGGCTCAGTGGTTCACAGGTTAGGCGTTCACGTGCAAGACCGAAGATCCTGAGTTCGAATACTGCGAGGTGCAGGAGTCGTGGATGCACACTGCTGGTGAGTCCTATACCAGGACGAAACGGTCGTCCAGTGCTTCCAGACTCCTTGAATCATTTCTAGTTCACATATCTCACTCATATAGTGTACATGGTAAAATATTGTATTGACAACAGAATGAATAGGAGATTCGATCGTGCGACCAAAACAGAAAAAAACACGGCATAAGCATTTGAACCGAAAAATACGATCGCATTTCTGTGTATAATCAACTTATTTTTTTGTATGAATTTAGTTAAAAGTCACATTATTAGAGAATTCTTAAAGTGCTTTCATTTCATAGATATCAGAGCAAATCTAAATTACACTCTCCCTTACTAAGTCCCCTTTTTCAAAGCTCTAATTCTCAATAGTTCTAGTGAATCTTATTGAGGATATCTATGTTTCAAGTGCTATTAACCAGATCTGAATCATAACAATCAGCTCACACTAAATTCATTCAGCTCTTTTTCAAATCAAATATAAATTAACATTTCACTATAAATAATGATTGTAAGTGATATTTCAAACAAAAAACAAACGATTATTATATTGGTGAAAACCATAAGTTTCAAAATAAAGATTTCCTAATGTTAACTTAATAATATTTCCATCAAAATGCATTGAATTTGTTTGCTTATTTTTTTGGTTTGTTTTAGTAATCAAGGTTGTACTTATTGATTGATTTTACGTTTAACATGCATCAGAATTATTAGATTGACCTTATCGGAAATTATATGTTTTTTTTCAATCGTGACTTAACTTTTCACCATTCAATAATAATAATAATAATAATAATAATAATAATAATAATAATAATAATAATAATGAGTCAAGAGACGAAATTTAAACGGTTGAATGAAATTCATAACTGAATGAATATTGTAGTAGAGATTTAGTTGATAAGAATTTGTCATCCGGTCAATTTGTATACGTGTATTCAACTAAAAAATTATTACAACAATACAAAGGTATACCATGTACTTCTATTACATTACAGATAATATTATGATGTGACAGATTAAATATTTACTTCTTAATAATAAAAATTCATGACACGTGTATCATGAAATGGCCAACTATAAGTCAAAAAAGTATTCTATGACTTCTAAGGAAATTTTATGGGACAGTGAACAGTTACAAAAAAAGGTTCAATATTAGTTGAATTTAAAATATCCAGTGTGTGTTGTTGGATTAGAAATATCGTAGGAAATTTTATCTCCTATTTTTTCCATGTGACAATCTGGTTTAACACATACATATATATATATGACCCCTGCCCCACGTGCACTGACACGATCACACAAAAATATGTCTTCACATTGACCATGAAAGCAGAAATTCGTCAAAAATCGATGTGCCTAAACCACAATTTACAGGACATTCGTTCTATTTCTCTCTATCAAAAAAAAAAAAAACGTTTTCATCCAACACTTGAAAGACAATCATTACAGCATGTAATTTACTAACCTGAAGCTTTATCTCCACAAACTTTACATGGTTCCCATGATTGGTTATCATTTGATAAATTTACAGCTGTCTGATTCATATTCAATGCAGTGTTAGGAGATGTACCTACATTAGTACAACCATTTAAAAGTAGAGAATTAGGTGACGATGCCACAGTTTCATTTGGAGGATAAAATTCTCCAGTAGGGGGATTAGATTGATTAGGGCAAATGAAAGATGGTGTAGATGATGTAGAGGGTGGGCTAGAAGCTGATGTAATAGGTTCAGGTGATATTCTTGAAGATGGTCGAACAAATGAATTACGAGGATTGTTATTATTACTACAGTTACTAGTACTATTCGGAGAATGAAGAGATAAAAAATTTGGAGCCAAAGAATAAGTTGGTGGAATTAACTTTTCTGCACTGCAATTAGACTCATCATTATTCATAGATCGACAATCGTTTAAACTAGTATGTTGTCCCGATTGAGATGAGGAATTTCTTCCTGATCCAAGGGAAGATGAATAAGCACTTGATCCTGTATTCACACTCAACATTTGTTTGAATAAAAGATTCTGTAGAGCGGATGATAAACTTTCATCAGTTGGGAAGATTGGATTAAATCCATCAGCTGCCTGAAAATATTGACACGAAAGAAAATTTGATACGTAAAAATTAATATGACTTGTAGTCAACTGAAATCCATATATATATATTCATTACTTTAAAGACAAATATGTGGCAAAAAACAGCTCTAAAATTATGCAAGTTAGTCACAAAAGGGAAACAAATAATAACATAGTGAATAAATAATATCTTCACAGCCTATCTAAAAACAAGAAAGTAGGCTAGTGCTAAAACTTCAACTTACCAAATTTCCAAGTTGATTTAGAATATTAGGAGGCGGAGGAGTTACGGCTGTAGCCGCCGCAGCAGATAATTGGGCAAGAAGATCAAATGAAAGATTGCCTGGGGGATTTGTACTGTTACTACTTTCATTAGGTAAAATTTGACCGGAAGGAGATACTTTCGGGACTGCAGTTGTTGCTTTACGATTAGATAAACTAGCCAACTGTTGAAAGGTTTGACTTAATGATCCACTGTCAAGCATATCGTTAGACAATAAATTGTGAGAAGACTGATCAAATCCAGAAGGAGAAACTGATAAACTGATTAACGACTCCAAGACTTGACGTAAATGAATATTGGAATTAGCACCATCTATTTCAGAAGATAAAGTACCCAGAGGATTTAAAGGATTTGTGAGTAAACCAGTAGAACAACTAGAGGGATTTAAATTTCCTGTCCCAGAAAGAAGCGATAGCAAAGCGGCTGAATCCAATGAAGGTGTTTCTTTCTTGAATTTAACTTTTTGTCTAGTATTCTACGAATAAATAAAAAAAAACAGATTTTTAAAAAAGTTTGAAATATTTTCGACAAGCAAAATGAGAGATCATATTTTTAAAGCAATGACACTATGCAGAAATTAAATTTACGTAAAGTTTACGTGATAAAAAAGACTTTAGTGAATCTTTGTTGTGCATTAAACTGATTGAAGTCACCTTTTAGTAAATTCATTATAATCAAGTAACAAGAGATAATCTCAGATGATCTTTCTGAAGTCTACATAAGTAACTGAACGTAAAACGCAATCCATGTTCTGGTAATCTTATCATTTCTTAGAATCATAACTAATTAATTGCATCTCTAATCATGTGAATTCTAATAACATCACTCTTGGTCCATGTGTACAGCAGATAATATACCCAGAATAAAGCGTTTAAGCTTTTATTGTTTTCAATGCTACAGTTTACAAATATATAGTACATAATAAAATGTGTTGAATGGAAACAAAATGTTACAACATACAAAAGCTAATGAGTCATGCTTATTTTGTATTAGTTTAGATTATCTAGTTGTTGGTATTTTGATTGAAATTCGGTCCTGTGCATCCTGTGCAGATTGCCTCGCTTTAACCACTATGAAACAAGTCTAGATAAAATAGATGAAATTTGGCCAGCAGTAGAATCAAAGACGTCTGTTCGGTCTCACCTACGATTAATCAGCTAAGTTTATCTATTTCCCGAGTTGATGTTCAGTTTAAGACTCGAATCCAGCGCCGTCCGCTTCCAACACTAATCGATTATCTATTAGACCACTAAGTCCGGACGTCTGAAGTAAACACAAACTCTAAGATTCAAGAACATCCAGTCGATGATTACGAAAAAACACGAAACACGCATCTTGAACTTTGTTGCTAATCACATTCGATTTATTCTATAAGAGCATTGGCTATGTTTTGACCTTCAATTTCATTATTGACCACTTTGTTTACCAACTAACAAATAATACTATTTTAGTTTAATAATTTGCATACAAAGAAATAGCTTTACTTTCCTACTATACAAGCACAGATACTCAGTCAGTGCCATATATATATATATATATATATATATATATATATATATATCATCACACACAAAACGAATTGCATTAACTTGACCTACAATCGATAATGAATATTAGTAAGAAACAAAATGCTGAAAATTAATAATGTGACTGTTTGCTTCGTTTTATTCATTTTACCTGTCGTTCGATTACTTTCACAGATAAATAATTCACAGATGTGAACGCACGCATATTGCAAACACAACATGATAAAATGTATAACAAAACAGAAGTGATACCAAGAGAAAAAGTGGATAACAGTAATGATAATAACATAACTCATTATTATTATTATTATTATTATTATTATTATTATTATTATTATTATTATTATTATTACGAATGTTGTTTAGATCAGAGCTATTGAGTGACAGGTAAGCGATAAATAGTTATTGCAATGATAAACTGAGTAGTAATAGTGGCCTTTTGACCAATCTATGGAAGAACAAAAAAACACGAAGAATGAAGAAAAGATTTGTTACGCATGAATGTATACACACAGACAACACACGAAAATTCATTACAGCTACAAATGTACATGCATATAAACACAACAATTTCTAAACTATTCATAAATAACAAACTTATCAATATTATTATTATGCCTTAACGATGTTTTCATCAATTGTATGCGCATACAAAGTCAATAAAATTACAACTTAATCAATTTACCAACTAAACCGTGATAAAGTTGGTAATAAATACAAAGAGAAAATCGAATTAAGAGAAATGAGTAAAAATTTAGAAAGAAATTCGTTAACATTCATGGGGTTCAGATATTGCAATTTTTACCCTGGAAGTTTAGATGTAACAAGCTAACTAACTCAAAAGAACACAGACATATAGATACGCGAAGATGAGGACGCACACAAACATTACATTCATACTGTATACAAATAATTAACTAATACGACTCAAAGTCATGAATACAACAAAACACAAATAAGACATATTTCTTGTAAAACATATTTACTTCTCAATTAGAGTTACGGAGATTGGTGTTTCTACACATTGAAATCATCAATCAATCATTGTTAGACCACCACTAGTGACTAGCTTCGTGAGGAAATTCGCGGTGTTCTAGTGAGAAGACGTGACCACTGGAGTTCAACCCTGTCGAGTGAAGGCAGTAAATACCAAAGACAAATGGGTGAGGTCGCGCAAAATCTCTAGATCAATCAGAGTTAGACATTAACACCGTTGGATGCCGGCCCAGTGGTCCAGAGGTTAGGCGTTTACATGGAAGACCGAAGGTCCCGGGTTCAAATCCTGCGAGGTGCAGGAATCGTGGATGCACACTGCTGATAAGCCCCATACCAGGACGAAACGGCCATGATGAATGATTTGAAGAGTATGGAACATTGAGTAAATGACAACATTATTCAACAAACATTCCATTTGTTTATCACAATCAAATATACTTTCCAGTAAAAATCGATCGATAGTATAACCTATTACAGTAGTTTGATGATCACTTGGTATTTGTATAAAATTTATAAACAAATCTACAACTCGACAAGAAGTTTTGTGTCATAAAATTTTTATCTGAAGGTTGATGAAATGTGAGAAATAAAATTGGAACCGTTCGAAGGTATCAAGATATAGCTTAGAACTATTAGGTAACAACTTGAAGTGGTAAAAGAAAAACAAATGTGCATTCAAGAATTAGAATTAACAGGTCATATATATTGCCTACGTACTGAACTATGGACACTGGCTAATGAAGCTTGGTTATAATAATACTCTTACAAAAACCTTAGAAGAAGAAACAAAATTCCTATTGATAACATACTCATCATAAATCAAATTTCTAAACACTTCTCTAAATGCATTTGAATATCTTCTGATAAGTATATTGTGCATATTATCAAATAATTAATACAAATCAAAATATTTTCAGTAGAAAATAGTTACACGTAACTTTAGTATTTTTTTTGTGACTATTAACGTCATACAAAAACACTTAAATAATAATGGGTGTTTGATGATTAAATTCATTGATTGACTAACTGACTAACTGACTGATGATGATGATAATATTTATTTACTTAATGAAGCACATAAATATTAGCACAAAGCGACATCTAAATATATATATATATACCACACAAACCATTGATTTAGCATGTAGGCTGTGATGAAACAATTAGGTAAATAAGCATTGACAACATTAAAAAAACAAACTACATTTGAATGTTCACTTAAAAAAGATAAAAGCTAGCTGTTTTTAGTAAATGAATAATAAATACACAATTTGGTTATTGATTTCATTAGAGTGATGTTTATCATATATAAACAGTACATATTACTTACTAACTTAAGCCTGATGCCCCCACTGGAGCATAGGCCACCAACAAGCATTCTACAAACAACTCTATACTATGCCTTCCTTTTTAGTTATACACAATTGCTATTCATTCTTTTCATGTCTCTATTCCATTCTCGACATAATGTGTTCTCCGGTTTTCCTTATTTCCTTTAGCCTTAAGGATTCCAAGTTGGGGGTAATCATGTGACGCAGGCAGGTACTTTCCTCAATGTATGTCCAATCCACCTCCAGCACTTTTTTCCGTATTTCTTCTTCCTCTGTAATCTGTTTTTTCGCCTACCATAGTAAATTGTCATTGATGGGGTCTGGCCAACGGGTGTAGAATATCTTGCGTTTAGAACTGTTAATAAACACCTGTATCTTGTGAATGATGGCTTTCGTAGTTTTCCAAGCTTACGCTCCACAAAACAAGAGTTCAAATCATTCAGCTGAATACAAACTTCCCTTGGGATTTTATCGTCTTCATAATCCAGCCGATCACCATGATAAAAAAGTGATGAGGGTGATCAAACTTGTCGCGATTCGGTCGGTCGTACACGATCGATCCTTACCGAATCCAGCCTATTAATCTTGGGGTTGGGCGTCTACGGAATTTTTCATTAGGTTTGCAGATGACTTTTCCTGGTATTGAGAGAAGAGAGATGACCCTGTAATTCTCACACTTCTTCAGATCTCTTTTCTTTGGTATCGTGATGAGGTGTCCTTCTTTCCAGTCTGTTGGTATTTTTTCTTCCTCTGTCTTTGTAGTTACTGTTTTTTTTTTTAAATCCATCAAGTAATCATTAAGAAACTTGAAAACTTAATATAAAACATCAATGCGTTCTTTCTGTCACGAAATCTTATTAAGAATAGCAGATTTACTCTAAATACAAGCTATTATGATTAATCTACGTATATAATTCACAAAAAATCAATTCAATAATTCTACTAATTTTGATATCAACCAAATCATGAACGATAATATATGGATGGTATTAAGTTATTTTATTGTACATATTAGTCACTTTAATCTCAAGTATGAGAAAACAAAATTATTATTGAATCTTTTGTAAATGATATTTTGCATGTACATAACATGAATTACTATTTTTAGACTCATTAAAAACTTAATAAACAATTAAGATTATACTCTGATGTCTTATGAAGTCATTACTAAATACAAACAAAATATTAGTCTGCTGGATTATCAAGTTATAATTTCTATTCACAAGTCTTTGGGTTATTGACACTGCCCCTCCCCCTCCCTAATGAATATAATAAGCAAAATAATCTCAATGTACAGACTAAAATTATTGATTACTATAAATAGTACTTCAACTATCAAGATGGAAATGAAAGTTGAAAAAAAATCCATATACACTCACACACATAAATAGACTACATTTTCTGAAACAACAAAAAAAAGTGAATAGTTGATATCACAACCATCATGGTATGAGAGCTACAGAAATAAGAAAAATACAGTAATCTGATGATCATCAAATTCTTAATAAATAACATGTCAATCAATTTGTTGCTTATTATTACAAACAAAACAACAATAATATGTGTAAAAATTAGATACAAATGAAAGTTACAATGTGGTAAAAGTTAACTATATTTGATTC